AACTCGTCAACCACCATCTAATCGGATTGGCGGTGCTCACACCATGCAAGATTTTAACTCTGTCTCATCAAGGAAGATGGCCAAGTGCACACTGGCCCGGGCAGCTGCTGCCCTGGCATTTCATTTACAGCTTGTATAAAGCACAAATGAGAGACGTGGAAAGACACTGGGACAGGACGAAGGTGTGAAGACGAGGGTGTGGGCAGGGTCAAAGGGACAATCCGGGAAAGGCCAGGGATCGGCAGCAGTGCAGAGCCACTTCCATCTCTCCTGGCTAGAGTCACCAGAGAGGAGGACTCTCAACTGAGAAAATGCCTCCATGATATCAAGCTGCACTGGCGGCTGGTGGACAAAGGCCCAGCCCCTGTGGATGGTCCGGTCCGTGGGCTGGTGGCCAATTCCAGGGACAAGACCATAAAACCCCTACCCAAGGGACAGCCTGGAGAGAACCACAAGGATGGGACACTACCGAGGCTCAGGGCGGCATCTGTGCCGGCACTTGGAGGCAGCACCCACCAGTGAGGTTTTAGAGTACCTAACCCTGGATAGCTTTTCCCCAGTTTCCTATAAAAAGGTCTGCACGCTTTGCCTAGGGCCACCATTTTGTAAAATGGTTTGACCCCTGTGTGCAGGTTTTCTCTGCTTAGGTGAGTGTGGTCTCCGTGTGGTGATTTCGGACTTGAGCTATAAGAAAGCAGGCTGAGCAAGCCCATGAGCGGCAACCTGCCCTCAGTGGCTGCTGCATCCTCCCAGGATCCTGCCCTGTTTCGTTCCTGTTCTTGCTTCCTTCAGTTATGGAGCGAGTGCAAGTGTAAGCCAAATAAACCATCTCCTCCCCAACTTGGTTTTTGGTCAGAATGTTTCCTGGAAGCAATGGAAACCCTGAGTGACTCGCTATCTCTTCACAGACGAGGTGGGGAGGGAAATACTCCCCCCCCCCCAACAATTGGCACAACAGGACCTGGATGGGTGAGGGGAAGCGAGTTCTACTGCCCTGTCTCTTTGCATTTCACAATCCCTGCTAGAGCCAGCAGAAAGGAAGCTGAGGTAACAGTCACCTGGGTCCGTTACTCCCTGGACTAGGGCAGAGCAGAAAGGCTGAGCTAGGGTGGGGGAGTAGCTGGGGAAGGAGCGAGAAATAAGTACAAGCACAAACAGGAGCTCAAAGTTTGGACTCTGCTGGAACTATGTTCTAGAAGAAGGTGTTCTCCTTTTTTAAAAAATTTATTTATTATGTATGCAGAGTTCTGCCTGAATGTACGCCTGCACACCAGAAGAGGGCACCAGGTCTCATTATAGCTGGTTGTGAGCTACCATGTGGTTGCTGGGAATTGAACTCAGGATCTCTGGAAAAGCAGCCAGTGCTCTTAACCTCTGAGCTGTCTCTCTAGCCTCTCTTTACACTATTTAATTACACTTTTATGTCTTTACTTTGAGTGACTGAGAGAGAAACGTACGAGCCACTGTGTGTGTGGGGGGTGTGTGGGTATGTGTGTAGGTTGGCAACTTGCAAGAGTTGTTTCTCTCCTTTTACCAAGCAGAGCCTAAGAGCCCAAGAACAAAATGGAGGCTTGGTGGCAAGTGCCTTACCCACAAGCCATCTCATTGGCACGTGATTCCCTTTTTCTTGAGGGGCAGCTCTAAGGCTGAACTCTGTTTTTTAAGTCACTGAAGAAAATATTTACTGTTGCAGTGTTTTATAAACTAATAATGTCTCTAAATGTAGCCAAATTAATTACGATAATTTTTTACAAGAATTAATTATAGAGACTTTTAGAAGTTTTGATCAAGAATGTTATTAGAACAATTTGCGTTGTCAAATAGCTTTAAGAGGTTGCTTATAGCCCACACGAATGACTCATAGAAGGCATTAGCATATTTTAATTAGGAGATTTGAGTAGCACAATTATATCTAAATTGTATTTTGTGATCTTGCTAATAGCTTTACAAGTAATTTTCAGATACAGTTGAAACCTTGCCCAGAGGGTTTTATTTGGTATAAAACAACAAAGGAATTTTTAGTGATGTTTATAGAAAGTTTCATAGAAACATCCGATTTTATAACTATATCAATATCAGGGCTTGGACACTGTGAGAATGTCTAATTAGAACTGAGACCATCACAAAGTCACCTTTTCATTAAGTATTTATCAATTTGTATGTGACTTTCTGAGACAGGATCTCGTGCATCCTGGGCTGGCCTTGCTGTGCAGCCATCTTGAACTCACGACCCTGCTGTCTCTACCTCCTGAGTGCTGGGGTAGCAGGTGTGGGTCACAGCACCGGGCAGCAGGCTGGGAGCAAGCCCAGGGCAACCACACCTCCAACTGGGCTGCGTGAAGAGTGCCTTGACTTCACGGATATAGACCGGTGACCCCCAGGTGTGGGGCCTGCCCTATAGTGTGCTACAGTTGGCCCAGGAGAGCCAACTCTCTCTCCCTCCTTTGCTTGGCCTTTGGTGACTGCGCACTGGTAGTTCTGCCGACGAGGGAAATCCATGACAATGAAATCACCAAAAGCTGCAGCCACTTCCCCCATGTCTTCCTGAAGCAGAGGCCCTCTGGGCCCTCAGCTTCTCCCTTGGACCTGGTCGAGCTGTCATGGTGTTTTTGTTGTCTGCGGTTTGCTGGGAATGGCTCCTGCCGTGCAGATCCCTGGAATTTAACTATCTCGGTGAACTCTGCGGGGCTAATGAGACGGGCGGTTTTCCTTTTTTGTGTGGGAAGGAATGCATCTCCACCTGGGTCTGCCGTGCTGCTCTGTGCCAGGCCCCTAACCTGTCCATCTCAGGAAGCAGCATCCATGAGCAGGCATCTCTACAGCCAGCCCGAAGGGACCTGACAAACTGGCTAGCAGGCATCTGCAAAGCCACCTCCACATGCTCTGGGTCACCTTATAAGACAACTCACACCACCTCCAATCTCTCCTCCTCTCTCCTGCCCTGCCCAGAGGCAGTCTCTGTGACCACCTCCCCCTTCCCTTTAAAAACCTCCCATGTGGAACCAGTCACGTGGTGTGATTTGTGAACCCGTCATGTGACTTTGCTGCACAGTCCTAACGGGCACCCCCTTTGAAGACGATTTACCTCATCCTCATGCTGCCCACAGCCTGGGCTCAGCCCCAGCTAGTCTCAGCACACTTTCTTCCATTCTCCTGTCATCCTTAAATGCCTTCCTCCCTCCTCCTGGTGCCTGAGGAGCTAATTTCTTGATCGTTTTTAGGATATATGATTTTCCTTCAACCTACACTATCCCTTTGCCTTCTCTCCATATGTGTCTATCACTCCTGGTGGAAGGATCTTACATTCTTGGTTTAGAGGCCATGTAAGCTGTGGCCACAAGCCAAAATCCAAGACCAAGCTAGGCCGTCATTTCCCTCTGAATACTTGAAACTGTAGTGTGGTCTGGGCAGAATTCCAAAGGCTTTTTATCTTGACCTAATGGCCATCATTACCTCAATAAAACCATGCCTGAAACAGAAAAGTCTGATTTTAAAAACTGTTTATGTCACAAATTATGAGTTAGCATTCTTGTGAGCTGTGGAGTACCTTGGTAAGGATGAAGTTTCCATGTAACATTTTTATAGTCATGTTTGGCCCAAGAATGATAACATCTTAACACATTTAAACAGTAAGCAGTTTTGTAAAGGTTAAAAGAGGAAATCTCTTTATATTAACTTGGCAACAGAAGGTCTGCGCAGCTGTGAATGCTACATACTTATTTTTTAAATTAATTACAGTTTATTCACTTTGTATCCCAGCTGTAACCCCCTCCCTCATGCCCTCTCAATCTCCCTCATCTCCTCTAATGCCCCTCTCCAAGTCCACTGATAGGGGAGGTCCTCCTCCCCTTCCCTCTGATGCTAGCCTATCAGGTCTCATCAGGACTGGTTGCATTGTCTTCCTCTGTGGCCTGTTAAGGCTGTTCCCCACTCAGGAGGAGGTCATCAAAGAACCAGCCACTGAGTTCATGTCAGAGACAGTCCCTGTTCCCATTACTATGGAACCCATTTGGAGACTGAGCTGCCATGGGCTACATGTGTGCAAGGGTTCTAGGTTATCTCCATGCATGGTCCTTGGTTGGAGTATCAGTCTCAGAAAAGACCCCATTGTCCAGATTTCTTGGTTCTGTTGGTCTCCTTGTGGAGCTCCTGTCCCCTCCAGGTCTTTCTATCTCCCCCTTCTTTCAGAAGATTCCCTGCACTCTGCCCAAAATTTGGCTATGAGTTTCGGCATCTACTTTGGTACCCTACTGGGTAGAGTCTCTCAGAGGCCCTCTGTGGTAGGTTCCTGTCCTGTTCCCTGTTTTCTTCCTCTCCAATGTCCGTCCCGTTTGCCTTTCTGAGTAAGGATTGATTATCTTACCCAGGGTCCTCCTTCTTGCTTAGCTTCTTACACTTTTTTTCTTAAATGGGACATGACATATTTGATTATTTGGGAATTTCATGCAATGTACCCCGATCACTCACTTCCCATTCTTCCCAGGTCCTTGGGCCCGCTACAAAAAAACAAAAAACAAACAAACAAAAAACCACACCAAGTTCTGTTCGTGTTGTCCATGTCCCGGTGGCCAGTCCTTAAAACTGAGTCCTCCCCCACCCCCACAGGCTGGAAGCCACCAATGGGAAGAGCTTCACTCCAGCGTCCCTAGCACAGATTTTAAGGACTCTTCAATAGTTTCCTGTCCAGACGTTTTCTTTTGGGGGAGGGGAGGCGGTCGCAGCAGCCTCTGTGTCTCTGCTCCCAGCTGTGAGTCTGCAGTCATCAACAGCCATCAAACCCCAATGCAAAAGAAGCCTCCGTGCCCAGAAGCAGCCAGGGGCAGAGCGAGCGTGGATTTCCACGTGGTCTCAGGCGGCAGCATGGACCACAGACACCAACATGGCCTCGGGCAGAAGTATGGACCACGGACATCACCAGGCCCTCGCATCCCCACCCCCGACCGCAGCATGGGCCACTGACACCAGGGTGGCCTCCAGCGGTAACACGGACCACCGTCACCATGGCCACGTTGTCCATGGATATGGATACGTCCTCCTCCGACAGCAGCACGGACCATGGGTCCCAGCCTGGCCTGCAGCAGCAGCAGGGAAGGTCTTTCCCTGCCATCCTGTCCTTCCTCGGAGCCGGGGAGATCTAGTGTATATATATATACTAGCGGTCCTCTGTGGCTGAGCTCCCGTATTCGCTGCTGCATCTCTAGTTTTGCCATTCTCTGCACGAGGCGCTGCTCCATCATCTTCCCTTCCAGTTCGTGAGATCACTTTTTAAAGCATCTTCCCATCAAACCTGCCTGTTTCTAGTTGTTCTGGAAATACTGTGGCAATCTGCTGACTCCCATCAGCCTCCGCGGGTTTCCCAGGCTCCTTAGAGCTGCTCTTAGAGTGGTCCCAGGGTGCCAGCAGCTGCTGCTGTTTGAATTGTCTCCCACTACACACTTCTCTGCGTGTCCCTTTAACAAAACACAGAACGGTAACTATGACGTCACCCACCTGGCTGGGCTCAGGTAAGACTCAAGACAGAGTTTGCAGAGCACACGCATCTCAGCGTGGCAATCTTTGTCTTATTATTATCCTCATGAAGCCCATCTGTGCTCGGTTGTAACTCACACGGAGTTCAGAGGGTCTTCCACACATTCTGTTGTGTTTCTTTTACCTTTGTAAAAGGAGTAACATAGAGACAGCACGGGGCATTTGTCCTGGTGACTTCCTCTTATGCCTTAGTCAGTGTTCAATTGCTGTGAAAAGACCCCACAACCAAGGCAGCTCTTAGCAATGAAAGCATTTAATTGGTGCTTGCTTACAGTTTCAGAGGTTATCCCGTCCTTATCCTGGTGGGGACCGTGGTGGTGAGCAGGCAGACCTGGTGCTGGTGAAGAAGCTAAGGACCTACATTCTTACCCGGAGGCCTCAAACAAGGCCACACCTCCTAATCCTTCTAATCCTTCCAACAGTGCCACTCCCTGGTGACTAAGTATTCAAATACGTGAGCCCATAAGGGCCGTTCTTCTTCAAACCACTACTTCCTGTTACTGAGTGTTGAGGGTCTCTGATGGGACTCTCCAAAGTGGCTGTTAGATGCCATTGGTTACACTTTTCTTGTAGTCAAGAAATTACCACCTGTAAGGATGAGGAAAAGAAGCTCACAGTTAAAGTGGGAGAGACAAATATGGCCACAAAAATAGAACTCTTAATGCTAAAAGCTCATCTTCCTCCTTCAGTCTCTTTCCCTCCCTAGAAGGATTCTTCCCTTTTCTTTCATTTTTAAAAAATGTTCTTTGTCTTTGTATGTCTGTTTCCTGCTGTGGATTTTGTTTACTTGCTTGTCTTTCCCAGGCTGGCTTTTGACTTGCTATCTTTTTGCCACCGTCTCCCACGTGCTGGGACCCTGACCATGTGCACACACCTTGAATGCCTCTCCTCTCACATAGTAAAGCCATACAGAAGGTCTGACATAATCAGACAGAGACTGGAAGAAGGGACTAGTCTCTAATTTTATCAGTACTTTAATCTATTTTTATTATCCTACTAAGTCTAGTGTATTACATTATAACTATTTAAAATTCTCCTAAGCATTAATTCATTTAAGTGGAAATAAAAAAATGGATAAAGAAAAATAAGAGTAAAACAAATATATATTGATACCAGCTGTAAAAATGCTACTTCCTTGCCTTAAGCTTTTCTTAGTCTTTTTATGCCAACAAGGAGATTTCTATCAGGGGAAGAAGAGTTTTATACCTAAGCTCTCACAGAAAATGTGAGTTAAAATGTGTCACAGACAGGGGCTTTCTGAAGCCTCTCGTAGCTCAGGAAATAACCTCCAGGAATGAAAAATTGGATTAAATGGAATTAAAAAGCTTATTCATAGCAAAACAAATGAAAAAAAAATTAACACTAATTAAAGAGGCAGCCTTCCAAACAGGACAAAATGTTGCCAGTATTTCATCTGGGAGGAGAGTAATATCTAGGGTATACAAAGAACTGCAAAAGCGAAACACCAAAATATAAACAAATTATCCATGTAATGAATAGGCAGATGAACTAAACAGTGTCAAAAGAGGAAACACAAGCAGTCTATAAAAACCTGAAAGTTTCTCGGTATCCTTAGTCATCAAGGAATTTCTAATTTAAAAACCTTTGAGACTCTGTCACATGCAAATTAGAATAGCCATCATTCAGAAAAATGCTGGTGAGGATGTGGGGAAAGGGGGCAGCGTCTCAGTGAGGGTTCCATTGCTGTGAAGAGACATAACAACCAAGCCACTCTCACCAAGGAGAGCATTTAACCGCCCGGAAGCATGGCAGCATTCAGGGGGTGCTGGAGAAGGAGCTGAGTTCCACATCCGGATCGAGGACTGACTGTCACACTGAGCAAGCCGCCTCCACAGTGACACACCTACTCCAACAAGATCACACCTAAGAGTGCCACTCCCTATGGGCCAAGCATTCACACACACACACACACACACACACACACACACACACACACACACACGAGTCTAGGGGCCTTTTCTGTTGGAGTCAAAGACCTCCCACACAGCACAGCTCTGCCGCTGAGCCTGTGCCCCAAGTCTTCTGGCTCGGCACTGCACAGAGCCTTGCTCATCCGTGTCTGTTGCTACTCACGGTGGCTAAGGAATGGGCCACCCTCGGTGCCCGTCAAAAGACGAATGGATAAAGAACATGGTAGACACACACACTTAAATCTTACTTGCTTATAGAGAACAATGAAATGAGATTTGCAGGAAAATGAGTCCAATTTGGAGATCATTGTGTTAAGCAAAATAAGCCAGGCTCAGAAAGACAAATGCTGCATGTTCTTATATGTGTAAACTGTGTGTGTGTATGTGTGTGTGTGTGTGTGTGTGTGTGTGTGTGTGTGTGTAGGACACGAAAGTAGAAGATGAGGGGGTGTGAACAGGAAGATGTGTTAAGTGGGGGAGAGTAATGAAACACATATTCCATGAAAGCACCAGTTGGCGTATTTGTGGAGAAACAGAGGACCAGAAAGAGGGAGTTGGGGATTAAGGAAAGAAAGACAGCTAGAGAGAGATGGGTAAAGACAAAACAAACCCAGCATGTAGGTATGGAAACTCCACAAACAAACGCATGTCTTTACAAGTTAACTTAAACATGGCAAAGCCAAAGAAGTAAAGCTTCAAGGTGTGATGTAGATGCCTGTGACAGTGGCATCAAAGATGTTGGCAGCAGGTTTACCCAATCTGCCATAATCTCAGTAAGCAGATTCAATTTAATGTTATAATGATATGAACTCTCCCATAATGATTTCTCTTTCTCACAAGCTAAATACCAATGAGACTTTAGCCAGGTACCAAGTGCTGCTTTTAAAAGGCATAATAATGTTGTGTCCGTGAATTTAGTAACAAGTAACATTTCATAATGTACCACGTGATTTAATGAAGATTATGAAATGAGCAACATTTTGTTAAAAGTTAAGTTATGCACATCCAACTGATTGTCTCCAGGGGATGGAATGGTGAAATAATTTTTAAAATCACAGTTGTTTTTTCTAAATTTTCTACAATGAGCATATAATGGCATTAAATAAAGAAATAGGCAACAGGCATTTTTTTTTTTTTTTTTTTTAGAAAAACTGGACTATTTCTGTCCTGTCTCTCCACATCTGGCTAGAACTCTCTGGCTCACCATTGCAATACTGCACTTAGCGGATTCCACAGCTCTTCACCTTTGTCTAGTCCACCAGGCGAGCTTTTCCTAAAAGAAGCTGTCTGTGAGTCCTTAATTCAAACCTTCACACACAGCCTGCTCTCGGTAAGATCTGCAGAACTGAGAGGGCCAGAAAACACACTTGCAACTCACATTCACACCACTAGAGAGCACCATGTCTCTACTAAACAGGCCAGGCTCTCGAGGCCTCAAAAAAAAAGAAAGAAAGAAAGAAAGAGCGAGAAAGAGAGACAGGGAAGCTGTTTTTTCCAACAGAGAAAGCATTATCTAGTACTCCTGGAGGGGAAATGAATGTAAGCCATTCCCCACAATGGAGTGTCGATCCCCGAGGCGAGATGGCTTCCCTTCATCTAAACACTGTGCACTCTATCTGCGCCGTCCTTTTCCTCCCTGACCGTAAAAAGCTGTTTTATGAATATAAAATTAGATCCTGCATTTCGCCATCACAAGAAGGCAAATTTGTGTTTAAAGTTCATTTCTCTTTCATTCACCAGTTCAGCTTGAATCCTTAGCAGTATAAAGACACTTGCTTTGTTGAATTAAAAGGTTAAGGTTTCCTTTTGAATCATGTGTCTCTTCCAAGAAAATTTAACATGCAGAATTCTAGACTTACAGAAGAAAAAATGGGATTTTTTTTTAAATACTGTGATATTTTGAATAATAAGGTTATAAAAACCTCGGATTTATTGACAGTTTCAACGTCAGTCACGATGGATGGAATGTTCTCCTGGGTCACTTAAAATGTGGTCCTGTTTTAAGAGCTAGAGGAGTAGCCAGTTTCACAGGGATGTGATTTAAAGACTGACCAGCCTTGTTGGTGACAGTGGAAAAGCAGACAAGTTCACACACAGAGGAAAAAGATGTGAGCTCACAGGACGAGCTGCGACAGAAAGGCTGGGACCCGTGGAGTCTAGAGACAGCCGAGTCTCCATCACTGACCACTTTGCCCCCGCAGCTACCAGTCCAAACCCCAGAGACCTCTGGTCTCTCTGACCCGGAACAAAGGCTCAGCAACCCCATCTGAAATGTGAGGAAGACAAGGAGCCTCAAGGAGCCGTTGGCTGTGAACACAACGGTCACCGGCATGCTTTTGCCACCGCAGGAAAGGTCTACCGAATGGCGCCTGGCACGGCGTGTCAGCCCTTGTCGTCTCACGAAAGAAAGGTCTGGACAGCCTTGGCCCCTTGAAAGAGGCTTCATTGTCACACACACACGTGACGGTGCGGGTTCCTGATTTCACATTCTGCCAGGGCGCCTTCTGCTAGTAACACAGCAGAGGTGGGGGAGAAGCCGATTGTGATACAGCCTGCAGTTTCGGCTACAAAACAAGCTCACGTCTCCACTAATGTTCAATCTGGAGAGACTTTCAACCTCCCCTCCACCAAA